ATGGCCCCTCTGTCCTCTCAGGCTCAATGTTAATACCACAGATCAAATCCAGCCCCTTGTTAATGAGGGAGGAACGGAGCCCAGAGGTAGATGGTGCCTGGCACATGCTCAGTGCTCTGTAATTGGTAGACCGAGGGAGACTTGTTTAAGGTCACCCAGGAGTCAGAAAAGAGCAGGCAGGCTGGGGCATAACCACGTATGCAACACCATGGGCCACTTAGAAAGCAAAACCTGGCTCGTGTACTCCAGAAGGCAGACACGGACGCAAGCGGATTTCCGCAGTAGTGGTGCAGATGGAAGAAACATGGCCGGCAGGACTCCTCTGGGGTCCTTCCATCCAGAGCCTGGCTGTCAGCCCTGCATTTGCAGGTTTGCTACAGGGAAGGCTGAGAGGAGGCAAGGACAAGTAGCCATCGAAGCTTGGGCATCATGCCATCAGCCCTGCACGATGTCACTCATGGTTACAAAAGATATAAGGGAAAAAAATGCAAGTAGCTCCATCCCTTCTCTTGCCCTGCAAGCCTGACATCTGCACACCTGCAAGAACGTTCTCCTGCCATTGGAGAGATGCCACTTGGGGGTCTCACAAGCCATGTTAGGAAGAAAAGAATCTTCAGCTCTAGCCTGGGAACATTAAAATCATACTACACTAATCTGGCTTTTCATAAAATTGTTGTGTTAATGCCCTGGGAAGACAAAAAGAAAAGCTATTTTAGCAATGTTCCCTAGTTGGGTTGGGCTTCTGTGTGGAGGAGAACATTCCTGTTTTTCTCATGGCTACAGTGTTTTGGTCCTCCTGGGTCTTCATGGCCCTCCCTGCCTGGCCCACGCAACCAACACAGGGCAGGCTGGAGCTCATCCATGCCGGGGTTTGCAACAGGCACCTATTAAAAGGACTGAGGCTTTTGTGTCCCCTGTTCTCCGGGGAACAGTCAGAAACCATAAGATCTTCTGAAGGATGCCCTCTGGTACCCCTGATGCCATTCTCCCTGGGGTCTCCTTTCATGATCTTCAAAAGGAAGCTCCAAAGACTGAGTAAGGAGCCACCGTGAGTCATGTTTTCATTTCAGACTCCCCCTTTCTCTCCTGCCTGACGAGGCCGCATGGAAGCCACACACTATTAGTTCCACATAATTGAAAAGTGTGTCAGGATCTCCCAGACGCGAACCAGAAACATGCTGCTCAGTTGTCACCTCCAACGTGACTGATGCAGTCGTGTCTTAATTAGTCACTGCTCACTGCACTGACAGCATCAGAGCCCCCTTTCAAGGCCCCAGTCTGTGGTGCAGGTGAGATAAAAGGGCCGAGAGTTGCCAGATTTTCACTACTCTGAACCCAGGTGGCCTCTGTCAAATGCCATCAGTCAGGTAAGGGCCGCATTTTGACAGCAGAGTCAACAGGGTTGTAAATTTGGGACATATTTTTCGGAGGGAGGGAGGTAATGAGACCAGTAAATCGTGGACTAGAAGATTCCTTCACAAGTCAGCTGTTACATCACAGGCCCTCATGCAGCTCTTCCAAGGCTGAAGGGGCAACTCTGGATGAACCATGCCACTCTGCCCAGCTCCTGCCCAGCGAGAGCTGATTGAACGGGGTGCTCACCTGCCCCGAGAGGGTGGCCCATCCACTGGCTCACGTCTGACCCTCCATCCACAGCAGCAGCCCTGTGACAGTAACCTGGGCCAGTTCCGTTTCCTCTCAGGGGCTTTGCATTCAGAACGGAGCTTAAAGCTGAGAGGAGAGATTGGGGCAGGGGATAAAAGTGGTGAAAGAGGCTGTCTCATCAGTGGAAGAACCTGGGCCTCTATCCAGAGCAGCACCTGGCTCGGGGAACTCCTCTCACTGCCCACCAGCCAGACTGCCCACTGTCTTCCCAAGCCCCCAGGACACTTGTTCATTCGGCCTCACAGGCACGGCATTCAGGACCCTTCAGCTCTCCCAGAACCTACAGAAATGACTGAAATGGAAATGAAATTTACCGGTTCCAAAACACAAAGCTTCAAAATTGATGCCCAAATGTCTACAGAACATAACACCACACCAACTAGCCAAACATGACTCTGGTATACTCACATACTTGCTGTGTTCAGTGTGGGACATGGGATAGGTTTGACAAGGCTTGGGGATGGGTCTCCATGGGGGACAGAGTTCTGGGTGCACCTTCTCTCGTGAGGACCTATTTCATGAGGGGAAAGACCCAAATCCCCACTGCTCACCTTGCACACTTTCTCTCTAAGCCACACTGCCCCAGAAGGATGGAGAAGCTGACAAGACAAGAGCGACTGCACTTTGGGATGGGGGTACCCACCAACTTCTGCTAATTAACCTGGAGGATAATTAAGAATTATTTATAAGACTTCCTTTATTAGGCCCTTAAAGGAGGCTGAACTACATTAGGAGCCCATTTTCCCAATTTCATTCTGATATACCAGACAGTTCTGGTTAAGAAAGACTGACACTGAGTTGTAGGGTGAATTCTGCCAAGGTAACTGGAGCCAGACTGATGAGGTGACCTTCCCCACAAAGTCTTCAGATAAAACATCTTCCTTGCTGCCCTTGAAAGTTATTTAACAAATGAAATAATTACAACATTAAGGGCTAATTCACTTAGGTGGAGTAAATAACAGTAAAACAAATCATTTTCCACCTGCATGTGATTGGTTCAGAAGTCTCATTTCCAAATTGAACATGAGTCAAGTACCTGATTGAGGAAGATATGAAAGTGAAGCAAGACACCCTGCACTCCCTAAAACCCACATGCCTAAAGTCACACACCTGCTCTCCTTGCCCTGATACTAGTCCTGACCCACCAAAGAATGGCTGCTTATTTTATAAACAGGCCAAGACAAAGACCAGGTGGGGTGGAGAAGACAGGAGAGAGAACAGTGCAATTGACAATGGGAAACGCTGCTTCAGGCAGAAGGAAGAGCAGTGGATGACCCACCGGCCTGTCAGGACCGGACACAGATGGCTCCATCACAGGCGCTAGGAAGCCAGCCCCCTTTCAAAGTCAGAATCACAGTCCAGTTATGCCAGCATGGGCAGAAACATTCTGATGAGGACTAAAAATGGATCACACAACTCAAGGCACCTGCCCACCTTCCTTTTGAAATGTAAGAATTTTTCTTTTTTGGAAGGAGAAGGGGTACGAAAGAAAGCACTTTACAAAGATGTGAAGAAAATAATCTATTAATTTTAAAACCAGGGAATTGACATGAAACTAGCAATATGAATACATGATTTTTTTTAAAAGACAGGAGGAAGAAGGCTCCCTGCTGAATTAGGCTGGTAAGTGGCAGGGAGCAGGGCAGAGTAGGGAGCACCTCCAAGGCCAGGAGGCACCACTGAGGAAGCACTAGATAGCACAGCAGCCTCAAGGGGGGCCCTGACAGGCCAGCTCCAAAGTCACAACACACGTGTGGCCAGAGCAGCACAGAAAGAAGAAATGCTGTTATTCTCAGCACCAAAAGTGTCTTCGTATCATCAGTGGATGTGCTTTAGAGACTCATTTCCATGAAGTAGCCACACTATGTTTTAAGTGGTCTGAAAGCTCAAAGTGTGATTCCCCCTTAAAATGGGTAACATGGGGCAGCTCAGCACCCATGGATGGAAGCACCCTGAGGCACAGGTGTGGCTCTGGGGGGCCTTTGGGGAAATCCCCAGAGGCAGTGGTTGGGCTCAGGGAGCAGCCAGGGGCAGTGGCAGAGGCCGTGGGTAGCAAAGGGCTTCCTGCCCACATGCTAGAGTCCAGGAGGCAGGTGTTAGTAAGGGGAAAACACCTTCTTTTCTTCCCCAAACCCTGGGCCATGGGAACTCCTCTTCCTAGAAATGGGGAAGCAGGCCACAGGAGGGAGCCCTGGGCTGCCATCCCAGCTGGCTGTCTCTCGAGAGGCTGGCCCTGACTGCGGCAGCCTGGTGCCCACAGCAGCGCCCGAGATGAGCCTGAGCCCTCGCTGTCAGACAGAGCCTCTCCAGGCTGCAGAGCATGAGCCGCAACAGACACCATGAACGTCAGCACAACTGGGCCTGGGCCCTAAAGCCGGTTAAGGGCCGCGGGGTGCACCAATCTTGGTTTGCTGAAAAAGTTGGTCCCAGAGCCCGGCACCTGAGGTCAGGAGTGGGTCCTGGAAACCCACATTTCTAACTTGCAATCCAGGTGATGCTGAAACAGGTAGTCCCAGGACCACAGTTTAAGTCTGGGGTCAAGTGGGCAGGGGGTGGGTGACAAGGTTCTAGGGGAGGGAGGAGTGGTCAAGGGCAGTAGAGAGGGAACTTGTGAGGGCTGGAAGCCCATTTCTGTGCATTCAAGAAACAAAAAAAGTACTTGGGAGGGAGCACTGCCTCCTGTGGGTACCACCTACCTTAACCCACAAGGAGATCAGTTCTTCTGAGCTAGGCTGGCCCTGCCTTACAAAACATGATCAAGGTCATGCTTCTGGAGGGCCTCTGAGGGCTCAGTGACATCTTGTATTTAACTACTTTTCCCTCAATTAATACAAAGCATTCTCTCTCTGACAACAAAAAAAGGTGTCAAGGTGACTGGGTCCTAGTCTCGGTTTGCTGGTGGGTCTTTATCTTTGGACTTCTGGCTCTGGGCCAGTGGGTTTAAACACATACATTTTAGCCAAACCACCATCTGATACAAGTTGCTCTGCTCTCTGGGTTTAAACATAGGAAGTTCAGGGACATTGGGGCCAGATGATTTTACTATTACCATCCAAGATACAGTTTGTGCACATAGCTCCAAAGGTCAATCATCCAATTAATTAATACATTAATGAGGAGAAAAATGCTTTGCTGCCTTAGAACAATGCCTCGTGATCTCACCTGCTGGGTGCAGGGCAGGGACATAAACACCTTAGCCGGGGCTCACATCATGGCCCAGAGGACCAGACCCACAGGCCTGTGACTCTTGTTCTGGGGCTGGAATTCAGGTATACTGACCAGTGCTAGAAGTGATGGGCCAGTGGGAGGGGTGTGACTCAGTGACACTTGCCAGATAGAATTCACTCTATTTTATTCTGAGGAAAAAAAGATATCTCTCTTCAACTTCAGCTGTCATCTGTGCAATTTCCGCATGAGAAGTTGACAGCCAGATGCAAAGCAGTGTTCCCTTCAGGGGACAAGGCAGCTCAAACTAGATCACAGAGTCCTTCAAAGCCCCACTCTTTCAGGTGGCCAGGCTACAAGTCTTGAGCCAGCTCACACCTGCTCTGGGAAGGCACGTGCTGGCCTGGGGGTCACAGCACTGAGATGAGAGGTGTGGCCCTCAGGGCTAACTGTGGGAAATGCGACCTTATGCTTTCATTGCTTGGATTTCTCACTGAGCAACATTTCTCCTTCTCTAAAAACCCAGGCCACAGTGCTGATGTGGGGAAAGTTACACCACCAGGGCCAACTTTGTTCTTGTTTGGTGCATGACATCACGTAACACCAAGTCTCCTTCCTGCTTTCACAGGATCCATGAAATATTCCTGTGAAGGGTAAAATGGCTACATCTCTTCTTCTGGTCCAGATGATTATTAACTATGAACATCCAAGATATAGTTTGTTGGAGGACATAGCTCATAAGGTCAATGACATCCAAAAGGATTTAACATATGACTCAAAAGAAAAATGCTGATTACAACAAAATGGTGGAAAAAATAATTACATCTATTTTAAAAGAGCTTTTTTGGTCTTCCCTTGAAAATGGAACTCCTCCTTCTGTCTAAAACCTCAAATGGATGTAAGTGTCTGGTCTGGTGGTTTGCTGACGTCTCACCTTCCTGGGCAGGTCTCATTCCACTGCAGACCCCTCAGCTTGGCTCTTCTGCATAGAAAATGTGTTCCACCCACAAAACGGCCCCACAGCTGCTCCAAGTGCCAATGCTGCCCCGAGGTCACGTTGTTTTGTCAGCGAGTCTGGACATACCTAATTGAGTCCTAAGAAAGTGGATCAGCTTGGTCTCTGTGAGGAATGCCATCCCAAGAGTGGCTCCCAAACAGAGGGCCCCCATAGCAACGTGCGCCAGCCTGGCCAGCCAGCCCAGCTCACAGCAGAGGAATACCTGCAGAAAGAAACCACTGTCACTGTCCCAGCCCCTCCAGCTGTACCTCCTTCCTCCGGGGCAAGCCAGGGAGAGCAGAGGGCCTACTGTTCCAGCTTCAAGTCAGATAAAGGCAAAGGCATGCCAGCTGCCACGTACTAGGGTTCACTCTGCTCCCATGAGTAACACTGCTCAGCCATGTCTATCATAAGGTGATGTCCCAGAGCTTAGTGGGAGGGGGAAGAGGTAGCAAGTACTTGTCTGGCTGGTTCAGGCAGAGCAGGAAGGGGACACCTAGAATGAGGGACAGTGGGCAGGCTGCAAAAGCACGTGGTGTGACAGCTGGGAGTCTCACCTCTGAAAGACTGGTAACGCCACCACTGAGGGCAAATGTCCCGAGGAGGACTGGCGACAGGCACAGGCCAGCCAGGGGCCTGTGGGGGCTCTTCTGGTAGTAGCGGTGGATGAAGCAGAGGCTCTGTGTGATTCGAATGCCCATGTTGAAGCAGTTGGCCAAGATGAAGCCCACGCTGCCACACCACCGGGTCAGGAGATAGGATAACACCAGGAACGAAGAGGACAGGGCCAGCATCGTGAAATTGTACCTGGCGAGGGGGAGGCAAGTGACACAGGGCAGTGTCAAGTGCTTCAAGACAGGGCTGCTGCCAAGAAAGTGGCCATGAACACAAATTCACAGAAAGCACCTTTGCATTCCCACGACCTAGCTGATTTTTCACAATAAAGGATGCTAAAGGGATAACGGAATTGTCACTGTTTCCCTCACCCCTACAGAAGAGAAAGAAAATGAACAACTCAAGATATTTATCGTGTCTAAGGTAAGTCTAATAACTGGCCAGTTTAAGTGACGCTTTGTGATCAGAACACATGAAAATCCCGTTCAGCCCAAGACTTCAACGTGAGGCACAAGAATATGACTCGGGTAACAATCACAGGTGAACGCTCACTCACTGTAAGGGGTGCTGAGGATGCCCTGGTGGATGAACACATGTGGCCCTTGCCCCGTGGAGCTTGGATTTGTTTTATGGATGAGGAGACCAGGACAGAGAGGTGAGTGATTTGCCTAAGGAGTGCGCTGACACCCCAACCTGACCCCTGACCCCTAAACTTTAACACCTCACATCGCTTCCCCTGGAAAAGGAAGAAGCCCTGTAACCCTGGCCAGTGGACCTCACTCAAAGCAAGTGGCCAGCTTCCAAGATGAAATGGAAACAGGCAGCGAGGTCAGGCCCCACTTCAGTGCTTCCCAGACTCTTACACGTCCCTTTTTCTGCTCTCTGCTCTCCAGAGCTCTCTGGAGTCTATGACTGGTTGGCTTATTCTGCTCCCTTCATTTCCCTATTTCAGAGCAGCATGCCTCTTGGTTATCTTCAGTTCTTAGCAAGGGAAACTGAGTCTCAGCAAAGATAAAATAGCTGCCACAGTCCTCCAAAAGGCTTGTGGTACAGCCACAAACAAAATTCCCCAGTATCTGCCTAGCACACAGCAAGCATTCTAAGTATATAGCTGTAGAGGGAACCAAACCCCTTAGGTCCTCAAGCTGTGTCAGCTGGGTTAGGAAACCTCAGAGGCCATCACTAAGGTTCTGTGCTTGAGGGAGAGGTGGTAAGAAAGCTCCTGTGTCCCCCAAATGCCCAGGTTCTGGTCCGGGGGCTGAGCAAGGCCAAGGTGTAATAGAGATACAATTCATCAGAGTGGGTGGTAAGAATAACACACGCATACAACTGTACTCCAACAACGGACGTGTGCTTTCATGCAGAATTCCAGAGAGAGAATTTATTTGTTTCTTTTAATAAGTAATGGAAATATAAGAGCCCACATCTTCACAGGGGAAGTCTCCTCACTAACTACTATCAATGATCAGAATGTCCAACTTCATAAAAAAAATCACCGAGGGTGGGACCCATTATACGCCAGTGCTCTGACCTCTTTTCCAAAAAGAAGCAGAGATGTGTAATCTGGTTTGTTTGTGTTTTTTTCAGAAACTATCTCAGAAAGATCTACCAAGACCATGGTTTAGAGCCATAGGCTCACAAACTTTCAAAGTCATCCTCTCCCAACTCCAAGTAGAATGGAAACAATGAATGAAACCAGCAGATAATTTATGCTCATTTAAGCAGGGACAAGTTCCACTGAAGTTTCTTTGGTGTGGCCATTTGGGAGGAGCTGATGATGACCAAGTCCATTGTTTTTTACTTGAAGAGGGGTCTGCAGCTGTTGAACTTCCCAGAACTCACAAATCTATACCCTTAAAGGCATAATCTACTTTAGGAAAAAATGAGAATTTTAAAGATAAAATTAAAATACCACTTTTTAAAATCAATGTAAAATTAGTCAGTGACAATGACTATTCTCCAAGGTTTGGTTGACATAAACAGTAAGTCATTTGATCAGGCTTATCTAAAGATGGATGGTCAAGGATGTTGACTGCAGCAGCAACAGAAGCGTCCCCCAGAGAGTGCTGGCTGAATATATCAAGACAAAGCCATATCATGCAGCCTCTGCAGCCATGGAGAGGATGGCACACGTCTCTAATCTGCCAACATGAGAAGATCACGCTCACCCTTCATTTAACAGTTACAGAGTCCGACTCCGTGTTGGGCACTTAAGGGTCAACAAAGCAGACAAAGGAGCTTTCAGTTGTGGGCCTCAGCATCACTGTCCCCTCTGCTCGGAAGGCTCTGCAGCATCTCTGCACGACAGACTCTTCTTGGTCATCCAGGCCTCAGCCTAAATGCCACCTCCTCAGAGGGGCCCCCCGAACTTAAAAGGCCCTGACTCTCATGACATAGCCCTTTTAGTTCTCTGCAAAGTACAATATTTTCTTATTTACTTGTTTGCTATCTGCCCCCTGCACTGTCAGCTCTAGAAGAGCAGAGATCTTTTTTGTTCATTGCTGTTTTCCTAGAGCTTAAAGCAAAGCCCATTAGAGAGTAAATGCTCAAAAAGCATCTGTCAAATGAACAAAAGAAAATGAGATACCCTTAACAAAACAGTACGAAAATTCTTCAATAGGACATAATGTAAAATCCATCAATCTTATCCTATATATATTATGAGGTTATTAACAAAAAGGCCACTTGCAGTTCAAAGGACATTCTAATATTTCACATCCAACCAAATGCACTATTTTTATTTAGAAAAGCACCAACTAACCTGAAATTGGTTAAGGAAAAACCCATGAGTTTATAAATATTTTTCTTCAATTCAGAATCTAAAACATCCAATGCAAATAAATCATAACATTTCACTAAGCTGTTCAAATCTACTATAAGAAGCCCTACTAGAGGTTTCTATCTGGCTAAACTCATAAAGATGAAAAAAACGCTGGGGTCTATGATGAGCCCATGGGCTCAGAGAGGCCAGGGGTTGGGGCCAAGGGCCCAGACAGAAAGGGGGCTGGTATATGTTTAATATAGATCTGAAGAGCATGCTTAAAGTCACATTTTACTCTTAGGGGGAGTGAGTTACTCCAGATGAGAAAGTGTCTCTGTCTCTTCTCTACGTTAACTACTAATACCACGAAAATAATTTTTCAGATTTTAATATACTGCCAAAATTCCATTACAACTAACTGAGAAAGTTGTTTCCTTCGGTTCAATGCAATAAGAGGAACCAAAGCAACCAGCCACTGCCTGTTTTCCCTCATGAGTTGGTTGTAAGACATGTTTTTAATGTTTTAAACAGGCCTAGTGTTGACTCTCCCCCTCAACACTAATGCTGAAATTATAACAAAATTCCCTTCAAAGAGAAAGATTCCTAGTCCAGAGCTCTTTCCACTAGGCCTCAGTACCTCATTTAGTAGGCTTCAAATTATAGTTTTAAATTAATTCATGTTAGAAGCATCTTTCAAGTAAAAACACAGTATTTTCAAAATTAAAGAGACCTTTTCATCCATTAAAAAAAAAAAAGGATGAACTCAAAGCAGTTTATAGCTATAAATTTAACTGTCTGAAGCAAAAACCATTGTCTAGACCACTATTTGAAAACTATGGGTTGTGACCTGAAAGTAGGCTGGGAAATCAATTTAGTGGGTCATGACATGGCAGTTTAAAAAATGAAACAGAACAGAATTAAAAACCATCAGTGTGTCCTGCACGTAACTAGGGTATTGTTGCTTTGTGAAAGCTTCGTTTCAGCCACAGCTAAGTATGCCCTGGGTCACGGTGCTCAGTGTAGTTTTTACTCTGAAAACTGGTCTGGACCAGTGGTTCCTGAGGCCCCAGCTATCCTTAGCAATCTCCTGGAACTGTGTGAGAAAAGATTCCTTGGCACACACCCCTAAAATTCTAGTTCAGTTGGAAGGGGAGGGGGCCAGGACCCCCTCGGGGAGTCTCATCAGTCCGGGCTGGCACTGCTGCTCTAGACTCTAGGTCTCACCTGTGGTGTCGCACACACAGTCACCAAGCCTGTGAGACAAGCCTGTGAGGAGGCAGACAGAGGCTGTTCTGAATGAGAGGAAGGCGTCCCCAGCTCTCTGAGCTCCCCTTTTTATATCCACCACCACCAGGCCTCTGAGTGGTTTCAACAGCACTCGAAGAACTGCCGAGGCAGCGTGAAACCCCCTGGAGGCCCAGGCCTCAGGGGCAAAGAGAAAACAAGGGCTGCTCACCTCATTATCTACACTCACTCCTCTTCCTCTCTCCTCCTTCCTCTCTCTCCTTTGCCCCTATCAGTTTAATTCTTCTCCTCAAACGCTCACTGCAGTGGTGCCTTCAGTTACTGCCTTACTACCTTCTGGCATTTGAGACACGAGAAATGAGTGATCCTGGGTGTGGGTCAGAGGCTTTTATCAGAAGTTCACAACAGAGTCATTGAGGAGCTTTGAAGACATTTCCGTGCTTAAGGCCTGCTGATTCTGCAGGTGCAGCGGGAGAGAGAGTGGGGGAAGCAGGGTGGACAGGAATCTGCATTTCTAACAAAGTCTATGGGGCATTTTGATTCATAACCAGTGTTAAGAACTACTCCTTGAAGTTCTAGGGCAGAGGTCCTGATCTGGGTCAATGGATGGAAAAAAATGTGGCAAAACTTGTATGTGCACTTGGGCCTTTCTCTGAGGAGAGATGTCACAGATCCCTGAGATTCTCGAACACCTTCACATCAGAGTCTATAGCTGTGCAGCTTGGAGAAGCTGTCTGGTAACCCGCTGAGGCACTGGGCAAGGAGTGCAGGAGTGGAGTTTGCCTCGTGTCTGCCTCTGCCACCTGGACCAACACAACCCTTCAGGGCCCAGATTTCGTCTTTCACAGGGGGAGGTGAGGAGCAGTTGCTGCCCCCAACTCCCAGCCCTACCGTGAGGAGGACTCACTGAATGGTGCCTGAGGAAAGCCACACTCCTAGCTCTAAAAGAGCCTTCTGAAAATGCATGTTCAGGATGAAAAGAAAGAAGTTTTTTCATTTTGACTGAAGGCCATGATTAAAGGTGTGCCTTTACGATTACCCACCTGTCAACCTCCTCTTTGCTCATGGCAGCAAATGTGAAACACTCAGTCACTCCGTTGATGGCAAGCAGGAGGACGTAGAGACAATAGGCACGCAGCAGAATGGGACCTACAAGGAAACAACCACTGAGACTCCAGAGCCCAAACGGGAGGCCCCCGTGCACCCTGACTTGGGCTGAGTGGTCACAGAACACTGGGACTGGGTCATGAGCCCTGCTGGTGTTGTCACTGGGCAGATGCATGCTCGAGCCTATGGTCTTAACTATCTGGAAGGACTCTCAATGTGCCAGGCACTGACTGAAAAAAAGCAGCTACAAACAAAAGGACAATTACGAATAAATGTACAGATCTCTGGCTTAACAACTAAAAGCTGATCTGGCCAGAAAGGAAATTTCTTGCTTTTTAAATTAGCTTGAAGAAGTCTGCTAATTTGAGCACTTAGGGACACAGGTGGCCCTGCATGTTCAGAGAAACTCATCTGAAGAGGCCCTGAAGAAAAGACCTCGGGGAGAAGCCCAGGGCTCAGGAGCAGCAGGAAACTACGGAGACAGAACACCCACAACCCTGCAGGGAGGATCAGAGCCCACAAGGTTATTTTCTTCTAAAACAAAATGATGTGGTTCCACAACTAACAAGCTTTGGGAAGATCTGCTAATAAAAGATCGGGAGCCTCAAAATGGAATTGATCCTCTTTTTTAAGAAGGACCATTACTAAGAGGCAGCCAAGCAGTTGCTAATAAAATAACCATATACTCAACCTATGATCCAGCAATTCCACTCCGAGGTATCTATCCAAGAGAAATAAACATGTGTTCACAAAAACACCCACAGCAGTTTTATTCATTATAGCCCACAGTGATCACTGACAGGGGAAAGGATAAACCAACTGTGGGCCAACCATACAGAGAAATACTGAGAAGCAATCAAAGAGAGAAAAGTACCAATCCATGTAAAAACATGGATGAATCTCAAAAACTTTATATTGAGGGAAAGAAGCTAAACAGGAAAGTGCCCATGCTGTATGATTTCATTTATAGGAAATCCTTTTTAAAAGCAATATTAAGAAATGAGAGCAGTGGTTACCTCTGAGGTGAGGGTGGGGGGCACTTGACTGGAAAGGTCCTAGGAAAACTTTCTGGGGTAATGGAGATGTTCTGTATCTTAATCGGGATTTTGGTTACATGAGTGTATATGTACTTGTCAAAACTCATCAAACTGTACTCTTCAGAGAACAGCATTTCATTTTATGTAAACTAGATCTCAATAAAGAAAAAACTAAACCACAAAAAGAGAACGGTGGGGAGGGCTGAAGTTCCAGAGTCTCAGAATGTGAAACTTATTCATGGTTTATGAAAGCTGCTTCCTCTGAAAGATCTCCATGCCACGTGATCCCTGAACAGTTTTATGGCAGTCAAAAGTTACAGAAGGAATACTAACAGGGCAGCCCTAATGCCCAACAAAAAACTATTTTCCACAGATAGCCCTCTCCTGGGTTCCACATTCCATCATGTCATGTGCATCTCATTCCCCAAGCTGCTACAGAAAGTAGCCTGGCCCCCACTGCAGCTGGGGGATGACAGCAGCCGAGGAGGCAGGGCCACACTCTGCTTTGGGGTGGCTGGAGGCTCGGCTCAGCGTGCTTCCTGCCTCTCTCCATCCTCCTCTCCCCGGCAGGGAGGAATGCTCCCCTCATCACCTGCACCTCTCATCTGGTAACTGAAAGCTGATGGCACGTGTGGGTCTACCTGAAGGTTGATAGTGAGCTGCTCTGTGACATGGAAAACACAAATTCTCGCAGGAAACAATGATTCAAGGATAAGGGCTTTGAGTTAATTTGGGGGAAAAAGGTTGAAACTGAGGAATTCGTGGATAGAACCTTCAACTATGGATTGAACTGAGTGGCAGTATGGGTTGAATTATATCCCCCAAAAAGTAATTTGAGGGAGATGGTATAACTCCGTGGTAGAGTGCATGCCTAGCATGAACAAGGTCCTGGGTTCAACCCCCAATACCTCTATTAAGAAAATAAGTAAATAAATAAACCTAATTATCTCCTGCTCCCCCCACCAAATAAATAAGTAAATAAACTTTAAAAAGTAATTTGAAGTCCTAACCCCTAATAACTTAGAGTATGAACTATTTGGAAACAGGTTCTTTATAGATGTAATCAAGTAAAAGGAGGCCCTTAGGGTGGGCTCTTATCCATTATGACTGGTGTCCTTATAAAAAGGGGAAATTTGGACACAGACACCCACAGAGGGAAGACGAGGTGGAGACACACAGGGAGAAGACAGCCAAGTGACTGGGGCAGTGTATCTACAAGTCAAGAGTTGATGGCAAACACCAGAAGCTAGAAGAGGGAAAGGATTCCTCCTCTAGAGCCTTCAGAGGGAGCACGGCCCTGGGGCACCGGGAGTCTGGACTTTTGACCTCTAGAACTGTGAGACAAACTTGTGGTACACTGTTACTGCACCCCTAGGAAACTAATGTAAGGGGATAGAGGAGAAAAAGAGCTCTTAAAAAGCAAAAGAAAGAGCAAAAGACAAGCATGCAGGAGATAAGTGTAACAAATCTCAGAGAAGTTCATCCAATGTTTCTCTTTCTCTTCAGCGTGGAAAAGCGAGGTTTGAGGAAGACTTCTGAGAAAAGTCTAAGCTCTCACAAAGCCCCTAATTACATACAGTGCTAAGTCCAAGTAATGCAAGCAAAACCACAGTGCCCCACGGAAGGCTGCCTCTGCTGCGTCCAAGTCCCACGTCTGGAGACAGCAGCATAGAGAGTGGAGGCTCTAAGAGGCCACTTCAGGGCACAGGTGAGCCCCTTCACGGGTGAGGACAAAAACCAACATGCAACGGGGGCAACTGAGGACAGCAGTGTTGCAAGTTCCACTTTCAAAATGAAGTAGTTGGGCTAAGCCATGGAAAGTTCCCATTCTTTTCTGATTCGTAAGACTTTCTGGAGAAAGTCAAGTTTTGGGAGGTATTTCAGCAAACAAAAAAGACTGTGGTGGGGATGTGGGGCGGAGAGCAGCAGTGCTAATATTTTCTGGCACACGAAAGGCTTCAGGTACATAGCACTAGTCTGAAGAGCCAGGAGCAGGGCAAGGAGAAGACGGCTAGTGTGGAGGTGAGGGAAGGAGAGCTGGCGGGCACCCTGGGGAGACACTCTGACCCTCCCAGAAGCCACTGTGAGCTTTCCAGAGTGCTGGAAGTTAGGTCAAAATGAGAGACAGCTGCAATGAGGAGACAAATGCTGAAGACCCTGCTGGGACAGGGGACGTGAAAGGGGGCCCGGCCAGGTGAGAGGCCACAACGGTTCGAAAGATCCTTCAGCGGCACACCAACCGCACATCCTTTCCAGAGACCGAGAAACCAGATCATTCTCAAGACTCCGCTCTCTCTGAAGATGATACCAAGAGACTATCTTTCTGAGTCTAAAATTATTAATGGTTCTGGACACAAACCATTAGAGATAGAATTTATTACCTTAGAAGTCAACTAACACTGACCTTTTTAAGCAACAAATCTATCAATGCTCAGGTTTGGCACCAGCATCTCACTTGAGTAAGAAGACCACATGGTGACAGTGGTTTGCTTATATATCTTCTATGATTAATAACTCCAGCAAGTGAACATTTTATCGATGGGACAGCTCTCTGCCTATGGCATTGTCCTGTGACTGTGTTCCAAAGGCTGTTCCTTGGTGATTACCTTTCCAAAGGTGCAGAGCTGCTGTGAAGTAGTCTGTCCCCTACTGCCACCAATCTCTGCACCCTAACTTGCTGATGGCCTTCTAATGAGGTCTCCCTGCAGTTGCCTGATGGAGATGTACTTCTCATGGCACAAGCCCCAGGGAGCCACAAGCCACACCACTGGTTTCACGGCAGGTGTTTCTCCAAACTTAATGACCTAGTGTTTGCTCTAGTGTAGAAACCTGGCCCTTCTTCTCCTAATACCAAAAGTTTGAGCCCACTATAGTTGAGATTAAAACATGTAAAATGGCATTTGACAAGGCCCTTTACATTTGAGATAGGGCAGCAGAAAAAAGTCTTCAGGGTTCTTGTCTAGTGACCTGACGAATTAAAAACATCTTTGCTTTACCCAAGATGAAACACTACATATGGACTGCCAGCCCACAATCCAGTGCATTTTGAAACTAGTGAAGTCCATAGGGCCCAGTAATGTCGTAAGATGCTCAGTGTCCCGGGCATCAGGTGTTTCAAAGTTAGACACATTCAATACTTTTCTCTTTCAAAACCCAAGAGTCACTGGATTAAATATACCATTTTATTTGCCGAGATCAATTTCATTCTCTGCAAATGGCTCTGGGTTACCCTTCAGAGGCTTTTATGCATCAGGCCGTGAGATTTATGTGGCACTGACTATCTTTGGATGTGTTTAGTACCAAGCAGAGACTCATTAGAGCCTGCCCTCTGCCTTCCTCGCTTGCCCCAGAGGGAGCACAGGGAAACATTTGGCAAAACATTTTAGGCCTGAGAGGAAAGCCAAAGATTCCCAACAATTTCTCCAAGTGAGGTTGGGGGATTGATCCACCTGGTGCCAAAGACCCAACTGTGCCCTGAGCTGGTTTGATCTCAGGTGAGGGGAACTGTCCCACAGCTGCAGCCACTGGCAATTTTCCCTACACTGACACAGATGTCAACCATGTGTTTGAGTTTCATAAGACTCTTCTATTTCAGTTTGGAACTTAGAACAAATCTGAAAAAACCTCTTGTGCATACCTGATCCTGAGCTAAGCATGGCCCCTCCATAGATGTCCAAAGCCAGTTGAGAATAGGCAAAGCCGAAAACAGTGATGGTCAGACCAGCCAGCAGGGCCAACTTCAGCAGGGACTCCAAAACCGCAGCGGCCACAGCAACATCCTCCTGGGGCCGGGGCAGAGGGAAGGAAGTGGGATGAATCATGAGCTAAAGAAAAACTTCACATGAGGCCTTCTCCCTTTGCTGTTTTACTGGTCACACTTTCAACTGACGAGGGCCATCACTGCTTTTCTGTAGCCTGGATTTGTTTCCATGTCAATTAGCAAATGGGGGAGAAAAGACAATGTGTGCCTCCTCAGGCAGTGCAGGGGAGGGTTAGCTTTTAAGTCGTGTAGGATAAACTATTTCAAATGTTGCCTAAGAAACACTCACTCTCCTCTCTGACATTTATTCTTATGTGGACAAGTTTTTACATTGCTAGCCAGCTCTGTCAGCCTGCTCTTCTTGACAAATGACGCCAAATGCCGATGTTCCTGTCCATCTACACTTAGGAAAACATTCCGAAATCAGACTGAAAACCAGATTAGCTCATTTGAGATACTGTGCATAAACTATATTTAAAATGTTTTCTAAGACATGTAAGAGGCTGACTCAGCTTGCTTTTAATTCTAAGATAAGTCAGACATTTTCAATGGTTTTAGAAAAAAGGAAGTTTCTACAACCAAATACTCCTGGATTAAAATCTCTTCTGTATTATCAGCTGGAGTATGTAGATTCTCATGGTCAGGATGTAAACAACTGGTGTGGAGAGTGGGACCAAATAAGAGCTTTCCTCCCACGCCCTCGGTGAGCTCTGCTCCAGTCTCTGCATCCTTGGACTCACCTTTGGTTCTTGAGAATCTAAGCATGGGAGAGGCAATCTCATTCTTATACCTAAGACTAGACCAAGGGAGGGGGTTTGCGCTGCACTGGGGACAGCCGTAGAGAGTTCAGAGAGGGCTGGGACAAGAATAATGTCACATAGAAAGACAAAGGGTGAGAAGGAAGAGCCAGTCCAGGGGAAAGGGAGAAGGTGCTAAAGAAGAAGTGACTCAGGGTCCTGCTATCATTCAGAATGTGATAGAAGAATGAAAACAGAAGAAAATTTCAGATCAAACAGAAGGGAAACATCTCCACATTTTTGTCTGTCTATCCTGCACATAGAGAGAGAATTCACTTGAGAGATGAGAACCAGGACTACCTGCTTCTGAAGTGTGGCGTCTTTTTCTCTCTCTAGCACCTTAGCAAAGAATATATAAAAACTCTCCTCTATTGGCTGGAAAATTAATCTGGCCACAAGGGAGCCAAGATTATTCACTATATCATATACACCTACAAAACAAAAAGGAAGAAATAACAATTTCAATGGTTTTTTAACTTGAATTTTCACAGCACTATTAAAATTTTTTCTAATTTAATTTTTAAATTAAACTTTTTGAGATAATTATAGATTCAGGTGTAGTTGTAAGACATAAGAGAGAGACCCATGTACACTTTACCCAGTTTCCCCAAATAAAAAGTTCTTGCAAAACTATTGCACAGTGTGACAACTAGGATACTGATATGGATACAGTCAAATACAGAACATTTCCTTCACCAGAACTTCATAAAAGTCATTAATGTCGAGTTGATTTTTTTCTATTTTTATTTCCACTACTTTGGGATTATATTAAAAAAAAATCTGAAAAGAGTATTAAGACCTATTGAACCACACAAACATGGGGCAAATCTCTGTGACTTGGGATGAGCTCCCTTTCCTCTTAGCGACCTTTGACCCCCAAAATGACCAGAGCTCTGGAGAAAGCAGGGTAAGAGCAGGGGATCTCAAGAGAGAAATCTGCCACGCAAGACACATGAGGCGGGATAGTCAGATATATATTTACAAAGATCTATAATTTTCAATCTTCAGGATTCATTTCTTACAACCTTCAGGTTCATTTTTTCATTGAATCTGTCAAACTATGGAGAAAAAAATTAGAAAGTGTCTACTAATAGTTCTTTAATTAAAACACTACAGAATTTCATCTTACCCTGATCGCCAAAATTTAACACATTCAGAAATGTCATCACATATCGCTCGCCTAAGAATGGAAAAGCAAAATAATTAGCACTTCAAATGCACATTATTTTCTCATTTCCTTTTCTCTTATTGTCTATCAACTTCCAGTTGGCAAATGCTCTTAAAGGAGAAAAATTAGATAATCAGTTAAAGACATGTTTCTTGTCCTAATATTGATTTCAAATAATCTCAAAATGACAATTTGGAAAGTGCTGGGGACTTTATTGACAGCAAATCTCCAAACTAGTTAAATTAAAAACAAAACAAAAATCAGTAAAACCAGTCTAATAAGTGTTTTTAAAAGTATGGATTGTTTCTAAAATGTTAATAATGAAAATGATTATCTTAAGTTTTCAGGGAAGTCAGATAATCTGAGTGTAAATTCTGCGAAATGACAGGTCCATGATTAAGTGCACAGTCATCAAAACTCTCCTCTCGGGTGGAGAAAGGTCTGTGGAGCCTGGCAAGGTTCTGGAGCCCAAATTCAAGATTCAAGTCTAAGACAGTCTAGTGTCTTCAAGGTGAAGACATTGGCCCAGAGTCCTACTGTCCACCCCTAGCTTCCATGAATGCACTTACCCGTGAGTGGAAAACACTGACCACTATGGAGGTGAAGCACTGAAGAGTGCCCACAGCCCTGAGGGGCCACTCTCACCTCCTAGCACCTTGCTCAAAGAGGAAAGCAGTATTAAGAGAAGCAGTGGTGGTCTTCTCTCAAGTCTCTCTTCCATCCTTGCCTCCCTACAACCTCCCAGCCAACTGCATTTGTGACAGGGACCTCTGCAGCTTGTCCCAGGCACGGACCCACAGGACTTCACTAGCTCCCATCTGTGTCTCTGCTCTGCTCCATCCTCACTGATAACAGTTCTAGATTTTGCAAATATATATCTTAAGTCAATACATGTTTTCATATCTTTAAATGGCTCTGCAGTGTTTGCAAAAAGTTCAAGTGCCTTGATTCTGCATTTGAGGCCTTTTAGAAACTGATTCCAAGCTATCTTTTTGCGTCCCTTCACCAAACTCACCCTCATCTCCCACCTTCGATCATCATCCTCTGCTACACCCTACAGGGAGCCTTTTAGTCCCACCACTTACAAAGGCTTTTCTACAGGGGCTGCCCTAGGTTCTGGCACACCAGGCCTCTCCCTCTCAAGTTCTGTGAGCTCCCTGAGGGCAGGAACCATGTCTCGGTCATCTCTCTATCCTTGGTTGCCCAGCAGAGCTCTGAGAAATGAGAATACACTCAAGAGATGTCTAGCGATGGGGGGAGGGTATAGCTCAGTGATAGAGCACATGCCTAGTATGCACAAGGTCCTGGGTTCAATCCCTGGTACCTCCACCAAAAGATAAATAAAAACCTAATTACCCCTCCCCCCTAAAAAAGAGAGATGTCTGGCAAATCAGCTGATGTTCCAAGTACAGGTCTCACAGCCCTGTATCAGAGGTAACCACACAAATGCCTGCGTCTCTAGGGAAAGAATGACGCCGTGGCCTGTTCCTCATTCAACGGTGTATTCTCAGCACCTGGTACAGTGTTCAGGAAATGTGGGGGCAGAAGGTAACGGTATACACACACACACACACACACACATTTTTGCCATAACAATGACTGATTTCAACTTTTTTAGAATTATAGTTTTTAGATAAAAAGAATCTAGGGGTCCCTGTCAAGCCCCATCCTTATTTCACAGCCATGGAGATGGAGGACTTGGGAAGTTCCTAAGGGTCCTGTGAGAGCCAGGCTAGGATGGCCCAACACTGGAGCAGACCCAGCTCGGGAGCTCGAGTGGCTGGGTGTGGCTGACACCTGCTGCTGCAAACACACATTGAGCCATTGCAATCCTGACAACTAACTTAGGACCACTGCTTGGACTGAATCCATTCCTCAACTCATCCAAATTGCCCTTTAAACTCTGAGAGGGAAAAAAGTGCATTTAAGCAACTACTCTCCCTACAAACTGCCTACACTGATTTGTCTGTCCTGACAATAATATGAACTATCACGATATACGGTTTCATTACAGTTACCTTTCTTTATCAACAAATACTTGCTGAAAATCTATCACGTGCCAGGCCCAGCAGGGTGCTGGGGAGACAGTGGTGAACATTTTCCCTGCTCTCAAGAAAGTTAAAGCAGCTTCACTCAGCTCTCCGAAGGCTTCTGACCCTTACTTCCTCCAGAAGTCCTGTGAACAGTTTCATTTTTATAAGGGCTCAGGCTAGAAACATGCATTCTCAAAGCTCAGAGAGCCCTCAGACGCCTCCTGGTCCTTTCCTTTAACTCACAGATGAGGAAAGTGAGTCTTAGGGGGAGTTACTTCTCTTTGGAAGTACAATATAAAAATAAAGAAGATGGAAAAAAGAAAAATAACAAGATAATAATGCCGGGTGTATTAGAAAGCTAGAAACACAGGAAACTTTTCTATTTTCCAAAATTTTTGCAATGGGATTGTATCATTTTTATAATTAAAAGATAATTTTTTTTAATATTTTAAAATATGTTCAGTAATATATATAGATGTATAGACATGTGAAATTTATATATAGAGAGAAACTACCACCTTCAGCAGCTTATAGTTGCCTCCAATTTCATTTTTTGAAACAGTGCTGGGTATAAATAAACCAATACAGACGTATAGAAAAACTAGATATACTTTCAGCTCCTCTGCAACGAGAGCTGTCACTGTCAAAGTGAAACTGGAAAGCCTTGAGAAGTCAGAAGGCTGACCAAACTGTCCCACAGGTGAATCTTACTGCTTAAGAAAATAAGATGAAAATCTGGTTCTTTAAAAAGTTCAAAAAAGGGAAGAAAGTGTATAAAAAGTTAGGATAATGAGATTACAGATAATTTTCTGTATTTTCCAAACTTTCAGTAATTGATAGAATACTTAAATGACATAATATGGGACTCTGGAGTGAGACTTGGATTCAGATTAAGTTGTGCCTCATCCCTATAGGACCCTGCAGAAGTTATGTAAACTCACTGACCCTCAGTGTCCTCATCCATAATAAATCTCTCTCTTACAAGGCTGTGGAGAAATTCAAACTAGACAACTTAAGTATCAAACTAAACAAATGTTACTTTTCCTCCCCTTATTTAAGAAGCTCCCATTTCTGAGGGTCCTCTGACCCGGGGGCTCTAGAGAGCCAGGTGGCCTAGATGGAGGCATTCCATCTTAGATGGAATCCCCTCACTTATCCTATGACTTCCTGACTGCTCAGAGCAACCTTTTACTTACCTTCTGTCAGAATCTGTTTCAAGAAAGACTGTTTGAAAAAACTCCAAGTCAGTTTAGCCTCTTCCCAATTTACAAAAGCCTAGAAGAAAAAACAGAACAAAACAAAACCTCCCAGGTGGTGCCAGTCTCAGAATACAATAACACTACATGAGAGGCAAACTTAGTTTGGTCTCCAAATCCCAAGTTAAATAGTTCCCACTAATTTTTCATTTACTGCTAAGCATGCAGAAGACATCAACACATGCTGGCAAAGAATTTACATTCCTAAACATGAAGGCAAAGTCTCTAGGTAGAAGAGCCTCCCTGGAAGGGTCTGCTCAAGATTCGTTCCCTGAGACCCCTAAAGAACTGTGCTGTCTACTTGCTGCTGTGCAGAGAGTAAGTGGACCACACTGAACACACACAGCTCACAGTCACTTCTTTCCTTAAAAGAGGTCTAAAGCATGCCAAGTTTACAGGACAAATTCTGCTCTAGGTACTCTACATCTTAATGCTCTATTTAGCTATCCAGGGTCCCTTTACACAAAGTATATGAGTTTTGCTTGTAGATTTCAAAAGAAAGCTAGGCCTTCCAGGTCAGTTAAACCACTCAGAATTGGTAAGACAGAGGAAAGAAAAAAACAAACCCCAAACTTCTGATACAGCTTTTTCAGAACTCTTGGGGTGGCACCAAATTGATCATTTCCTAAGGACAAGGAGGGTAAGAAGGAATTAAACACTTAGGAAGGACAGAGGTCAACCTGTAAGACGCAGGCAGCCTCAAAGCCAGAGAGCTGGCCACAAAATGCAGGAGTAGGGCAGCTAGCTGCATGTGCCTTCTTTTTTTCTACCTCCTCCTAGTTTCCTCGATGGGCCCTTCCTCTCTTATGAAGGTATCCTTGGATTCCAGAAAATTCCCTTTACGTGTTAGGTTCTTAATCTCAGGGTACCTGCATTTTGAAAAGTTCTTATTAACCAAAGTGACGACTTTTGAAAGGTGGGATTGCAGGCGGTTCTTTAGGAGGAAAGGGGTGACTTACAAGGCCAAGCCCATCCCACCTCTCCAAAAGGTCAGCTTTAGGAATGAAAGCTGGCCCAAGGGCAGGCTTGAAACCTGTCCCAGGCACATAGGCCCCAGCTCTTGGCTCAAAGCCTATCTGTGTAGAGCAATGCACTTCAGTAGAAATACAATGCAGGCCACATACATAATTTTAAACTTCCTAGCAGCCTACAGTGAACAGTAAAAAGAAACACGTAAAATTAATTTTAACAGGGAGAGGGTATAGCTTAAGTGGTAGAGTGTCATGCTTACCATGCAGAGGGTCTTGGGTTCAATCCCCAGTACTACCTCTTAAAAAAGTAAGTAAATAAATAAACCTGACTATCCCCCCCACAAAAAAGCCCTAAAATTAATTGTAACATTTTAATTTTGATTTAAAATTAATTAATTTGATTTAATCTAAAATATCACCTCAACATGAAAAGAAAGAAGCATTTCACATTATTTTTTTAATACTAAGTATTTGAAATCCAGTGTGTATTTTGTACTTGTAGCTCATCCCAATTCCAAATGCTCCACAGACACATGTGGCTGGTGCTCACCACTTAGAACAGGGCAAGTCTAGAGTACCCCTTGAAAGCATAGGTCATTTCCGGTCCTCAATCTCCTCACCTCTTTCTTCCAGATTTGGAGGACAGGTCTGAATCCTCCCAAACTACGCTGCCTTCAGTCATCACTGGATCTGGAGCAGATGCCAGGGGTAGCTCTAGTACAGGAGTAAATTTTCCCCAATGGGAAAGGAAATTGGGCATCTCCTTTTCCCGGAGCACACACCACTAGGGGGCACTGTAGCCCATGTCGCCCTCGTTCACTGAGCCCACCCATAGTCAGCTTCAGGGAGCCACCTCATAGCACATTCTCTCACTCTTTTCCTCTGTGCAAGGTGGTCCTCTGGAGGAGGAAGGGGTCTGCAAAGCAGTAACTGTGCTCTTTTCAAAGAAAATGAACAGTTATGGCTGGCCCACAGGCTTCTGTGAAGTATACTTGCCAGTAGGTTGTGAATGGGTTTGGGAAGGTGAGCTCTTAAAAAAAAAAAAGTTCTTTAGGAGGGTGAAATCATGACAGTGTATCTGATCTGAAAGCTCATACTTGAGCATTCCTTTCTCCTAATGGCTTCAATTTCAATGGATTCATGGTTTGGAAGGAATGGCCACACCACTTACTAACTCCAAATGCTCATTAAGGACACAGAGGCAGGAAGTCTGATTAGAGACTGAGCTTCTTCTCAGAGGTGACTGCTAAGTGAGAGGAAAAAGAAGCACATTCTCTGGGCTTTTACCATTCTGTTCTGAAAGGACTTGTCCCTTGGGAAGGTCAAAAGAGGCATCTTCACAAGAGCTAGGCTGGTACTGCTGAGCTGGTCTACACGGTTATGAATTTTTCCAGAATCCCCTGACCAACAAGCCACTCACTCCACTGCCTCCCTGTGATGGGGAAACTGAGGCATGGATAGGGAAAGGTGACAGGCAGTACCTCAGGAGAAGGTCTGGAATCAGAACTCGGGGCTCACTATGCTTTAATCTGAGTCACTCTTCCACTTCCCAAACTCTTATGACTCAGAATGGTCCAACCAGCTGTACTTTTGCCACATCAAGAGTCACAGGGGCCATGGTCCTGTCGCCTGCCCTCCCATCACCTCCACACCCCATACAGCACTCCTCCCTCTCCCTCTTGTTCCAGGGCTATAGACTGCCCCGGCTCTGTCCACACTCCCGTTTCCACCCACCTCCCACTTTCCTCATCACTTCTCATCTGGATGACTGCCCCACCGCTTCTCAATCTCCTTCACTTCCAACCGTTTCTCTAGCCCATCCTCCTCCTGGTAGGGTTCAGGCTTTGGAGTTAAGCTCAGAGACCAGGGTTCAAACTGCAGCTTCTGACTTATGGAGTGTGGAGGCCATGGGCAAGATACTTATCTTTGCTAGGCCTCAGTTTTCTCAACTGCAAAATGGCATAAGTCCTATCTCCTGGAGCTGGTATGAGGACTGAATGAGAGAAAACAAGACACAATAAATCTCTAACAGATGATAAGCTCCTCAACACAAGCAATTAGATCATGGTACTGGTCAAAAACCTTCAGAAGGCTCCAATGCCCTTGAATTACGCCCCGCAGCACTGAGGCCATATTCCCTGGCTTGAGCCCAGAACCTCCTTCCCCCTTTTGCTTCTTCTCCTCTCCCCTCCCCAACTATCCAGCCAACCTAAGAACCCAGTCCTTTCTGCAATCCCAACTCCAGCACAGTGGTGGGCATATAACAGGCCCCGAGCAAATGTTCTTCCTCCCCACAGCCACGAATGCTCATTTCCACCACACATGCACATTCACCTCTGCCCACCCAAGCAGTTTCCTCCATGAAGCCTCCCTTGACACCTGCAGATGGAATTCATAGTTCTTTCTCTGTGCTTCTATTATATTAACTGGACATATACACTCCAGTGTAGTTAGCAGAGTCCACATCTTATCTCCCCATCACAATTCAAGTTCTAAGGGCAGGGATCCCACCCAGGGCACCTGGTACAGCGGTACAGGATACTGCTTAATACATGTTTGCTGTGTTAAATTCCTCAGTTGTACTTGAATACTAGCCGATCTCTCATACTATATCACTCAGAAGTGTTGAAGAGTAGAAAAGACGTAAAAGGAAACCAATATTTCAGGTATCATTTTAAGGCTAAATAAGTATTTTTAAAGAAGATGGAATTCTACAAGAGGAGGAAAGAAATCTCCCAATTTGGTCAAGGTAATTTTGAATGTAATTGTTTGACTAGTTTCATAGGAGGAGCCCCCAGGGCAGAAAGCTGTCCCGCAGACTCAAGTCAAGCACGTGCAGTGTCGTCATCCACTGCATTCAGAGTCATCTCATTTCTTTCTTATTTTTTAAAAAATAAACTTGAATAATTAATTGCTCTACCTTGAACCTCCCAATCTTCAAGTAAATAAAGAATTACTTTGGGCAATAAGCCCATTTCTTTTGGAAGACTTCACAGCATAGAAGTTAGACACATAGACTAAGGTTAGTTCACAGACAAAAGTTAGAGGGAAGGGAGTCCAAAGCCAGCTGTGTGATTTGGAGTTAGTCACTTAACTCCTCTGAACCTCAGTTTTCTCATCTGTAAAATGGGAGACAATAGTATTTATCTCACAGGGTTATTCTGAGGATTAAGGACAGAAGTCCAAGTAAAGTGCTTAGCCTAGTGCCAAGCACCAAGTCATCTGGCCGTCAATGGCAGTTATTATCAACGGTTCTTTGTCAAAGTTCAAATACTTTCACAAAATTCCCTAAGTCTTCAGAGGGACCTCAAGGGTCATGTGGACTAACAATCTCACCTTAAAAATGAGGACCCTGGGGTCTGGAGAGAGTCCGTACCACCTCCCAAATGCACAGGAAGCTCCCTGAGGCTTGGCAGTCACCTATGTGTCTGTATCCCACAAAGCACCTAGGGGACAGAGGGGCTGTGCTCTGTCAGCAGGACTGGTGCCACTGCATGTGACAGGTATACCCAGCCTTTTCATGGTCAAGGCTTATGTCCCAGCAGAATGCACACAGGCACTTTTGGGACAGATTGCCAAACTAAACCACTGAGCTCTCCTACCAATGAGTCAGTGTCCTCCTGGCTAGGAGGCTCCAGTGGAGCTACTCCTACTCTCAAAGCAGCAGTGAGGTGGTGGTGATGATATGAGCTGTCACTTACGGATGCCCACTTACGCCAGGCCACACTGTTAAGCACCTTACATACCCCATTTCATCTCACTCTCACCACCACCTTAGGAGGGAGGTACTCTTACGCCCATTTGACAGATAAGGAAACTGAAGGTCGGAGTTCTGAGCCCATCATAGGGTTAAATACACTCTCGACAGACTTTTCCTTATCCTCTCTCTTTGACTGAATTAATGGTCCAAATGCTCCTTTCCAAAACACTGCTGGGGCACAGATTCTGGCCCAGTATGAAAAGGTGGCCAGGTCTGACACAGGTGGGCTCTGCCGAGAACTCAGGGAAGGGGACTCTTCTGCATTTTCAGACCCACTCTGTGGGCAGGGGCAGAAGCTCCAGGCAAGAGAAGTGATCTGGAGTTCTGAACTATCTAAACCTGCAGATAAGGTATCAGGGTATCCAAAAACTGTCATGCTGATTTAGGTTAAAAGTAAGATCTAATTGATCAGAATGCAGAACTCTCATCTAACAAATGAGAACATATCTGGCTTTGTTATGTAACGTCTGGTTTTTCTTGAAAAGTTGTATAACAGGATTCCTTACGTTCTGAGAATTAAGGCCCAAATATTCTCTTACATTTTCAAGTAATCACAAAAAAGTAGTAAGAAGTCCAGTCAAAGCCTTACCTCAACTAAGTGCACCTCATCCAGCAAGCAAATGAGAACAAAAGAAAGGGAAACTGGGTCAGCCCAGATGGAGCAGGGCACAGAGCATCTGTGCAGAGGTGATGTGGTAAAACATCACGTGTGCACGCCCTGGGCCAGAGGCACCAGCCCTGACCCCACAAGAGTCAGGAGATAAAAGTCAAATGTACCGAGAGTTGAAGGATTAAGTAGAAAGAGCTCATGGCTCACTCCTACACATCAGCCTCTGGAATCCTCACTGGTCTATGTGAGGAAGGGGATCATCTGAGAGACTGGCCAGATAGAAAGGAACCACACAGGGGCCATCTCTGCTTTGTCAGCCCTCTGGGCTGTCTGTGCTGAAGGTCAGTCCTGGGAAAAACCAAGAGACACAGCAGAACAGAAAGAGTGAGCACAGTGGTTACAGCCTATGCTCTGCTGGGATTCACACCACTCCAGGCTCCTGTCCTCACTCTGACCCTCGTCTTGGGCAGGTATTTAGTTTCTAAACCTCAGTTCCTCAACCCTAAAATAGAAATAATAATGCCAGCCCCACAGAGTTGTTATAAGTGTTAAATAAGGCATGTAAATCATCCCACACAAGGCCTAGCAGAGTGGTTCTCAACTGGGGGCAATTTTGTCCCCTAGGGGACACTTGACAGTGTCTGGAGATATTTTTGGTCGTTACAACTGGGGGGTGGTAGCTACTGGCATCTAGTGGGTAAAGACCAAGAATGTTGCTAAATACTCTATGACGCACAGGACAGCCCCCGTAACAAAATCTTTCCGGCCCAAACTGTCAATAGTGCCAAGATTTAGAAACCCTGGCTGAGCACACAGCAAGCACTCAATAAACATGAGCCATCAAATTATCTTTAGTATTATAACAATAAACAGTAAAGCTGTCGTTTCTTTCCTTTGGGGGTAACCAGCATCTGTGATTAAAATGAAAAGAGACAAAATGCATTACTTACTCTACTTCTTGTAATTCTGGGTAACATATCTGTCATTCTGGAGACAGGAAGAGCTTGTTGCTTGGTTGATTCTGGGGAGCCCAGTAACTTTGTGAAATAAATAACATAGCAGAGCACCAGAACTGTGGTATAGAAAAGCTGAAAAAAGAAAATAATGGGTTTAAATTACACTGTTTTAATAGAGGCATAATTAAGACATGCCTATAAATTTGACCTCAAAGTCCAGTCAAGAAACAGAACTGTCTTGACAGAGAAAGACAAATATCATATGATATCACTTATATGTGGAATCTAAAAACAGGTACAAATTTTATTTGCAAACCAGAAATACACTCATGGACATTGAAAACAAACTATGGTTACCAAAGGGGAAAGGGAGGGACAGATAAATTAGGACTTTGGGATTAACAGACACACATTACTATATATAAAATAGCTAAACAACAAGGACCTACTGTATGACACGGGGAACTATATTCCATTTCTTGTAATAATCTATAATGGAAAAGAATCTGAAAATATATGTGTACACATTTGTATGTACATGTATAACTGAATTGCTTTGCTGTACACCTGAAACTAACATTATAAATCAACCACACTTCAGTAAAAAATCAAGAAATATAACTGTCTTAATTAGCTGTACTTTCTACCAAGCAATGCCTCACCCTCTGGAAAACAGCACTACTCACTAAGACCCGGCTCCACTGCAGCATCTCTGGGGAAGGTATTCCAAATTCACCTGACGGGGAGAACAGAAATTCTTCCAGGCAGGCAGAACATAACTTCCATGACAGACATTCACTCATGCAACCACTGTAGCAATGTCAGATACATTCTCAAAAGATCTGTATTTGGCTAAAGGAATGGCTCTCCCGCCTAGACAGCGTGCAGTGAGGATCCATGGGTCCAGCTGTGCTAGTATGCAGGGACTTGCCATCATCTGGGGCCAGAGATTTTCCATGAACCCTGGAAACCTGTGACATTATGATTTAAAAAGCAGAACTGAGCTGCTGGCTCTCCTCTGCCCAGTACACTGGCAGGACAAGAGCTACTACAGGATGGGGAGGGAAGGAGTGATAAGAAGCCCTATCCCTCTCTTCTCCCACGTGGGACCAAAGGTGGCTTCTGGCCAGGAGAAGCAGCGTGGCGTTTTGTCTGCAGGTTGAGGAGGAGTAGCCAAAGAGCCCTTTTGCATGAGCTCCCTTCTCTCCTCTCCCCTAAGACCAGTATACACTAGCTTAAGAAGGAGTGGGACCTCCAGGCCCCGCTTTCAGTGTGGAAACACCAAGGCTACCCTGCAGTAAGGCACAGAGCAGGGACAGAGAGGAGTCTCAGGTTGGCAGGTGCAGGCTCCTCTGCTCTCCACACCCAGCCACACCTGAGGACAGACCCACCATCCACCCTACTTCTTCCTCCTTCATTCCTCAAGCCCTTTAAGACACAGCAGCACTGTAGCAAGCCACACCACCTGATGCCAACGTCCTCTGTAACAAGTACACTTTTCTAGCTCCGTTCTCTGCCTCTCTCCACCTTCCCGCTGACCAGAGCCTGGGGAATAACAACCACCTCTTCATGCAGAGTCTCCTAACTAGATGATTCCTCTTGATTTTTTTAATTGAGGAAAAACTTACATAATATAACATTGACCATTTTAAGCATTTTGAAGCATATAATGTAGTGGCTTTTAGAACAGTCACAATATTGTACAACCACTAAATAATTCCAGAGCATTTTCTATCACTCCAAAAGGAAACTCCATACCCATTAAGCCCTCATTCTCCCTTCCCTCATTCCCTGGCAACCACTAACCTGTTTTTAGCCTCTATGGACTTGCCTATTCTTGACATTACATATGGATGGAATTGTATAATGGGTGGCCTTCTGTGTCTGGCTTCTTTCAGTCAGAATGTTTTCAAGGTTCATCCATGTTGTAGCATGTATCAGTATTTCATTTTTATGGCTCAGTAATATTCTGTTGTATAGATACACCACATTTTTGTTTATCCACTCTTCAACTGATGAACACTTGAATTGTTTCTACTTTTTGGCCATTGTGAATAGTACTACTATGCACATCCATGTACAAATTTTTGTTTGAACACCTGTCCTCAGTTCTTTTGGGTACATACTCTGGACTGGAATTGCTGGATCATATGGCAGTTCTACATTTAACTTTTTGAGGAACTGTCACATTGTTTTGCACCATATTATATTCCCACCAGCAATGTATGAATGTTTCAATTAGTCCCTGTCTCCACCAACACCTGTTATTTTCTATCTTTTTGATAACAGCCATCCTAATGGGTGTAAAGTGATATCTCACTAAGGTTCTGATTTACATTTGCCTAATGACTAATGATGTTGAGCATCTTTTCACGTGCTTATTGGCCATTTATTTGTACACCTTCTTTGGAGAAATGTCCATTCAAATCCTTTACCCAGTTTTTAGGTGGTTTGTCTTTTGTTGTTCAGATGGAAGAGTTCTTTATATATCTAGAGTGACTCTTTTATTTGAGATATGATGCAATGGGGCAGGAGGCCAATTCAAGGAGGAACCTGGAGGGAGACTGGACAAAGGGGAATCCCAGGGCTGTAGGTGTGGCTCACCTGCTGATATGGAGTGCTGTTGGCTCTTAGACCTCTCCCACAGACACAGACAGAGAAAGTACCAGAGAAGAGCTCCCAGAAGTCTTATGATAAGGATGCAAACACACTCAGAATTGGCCAAGCCGACCTATGATCTATGACTTATCCTGGGTGGGAGCTATGACAGAAAGTCATAATGCAAGTATCTTTCTCAATAAGAATCAACCAATGACTGGGCATCTTCATGGCCCTCCTATATTATTCGGATCAAAAACAATGATGAATGCTGAGAACTGTAGTTCTAGATCTAATAAAACATGGCAAAAATAGTCACAGGTAACTTCTCTAAAATATGCAATTGTAGGAAATGGCTTTTAGGAAGCAAGTCTCATTCTTTATAATTTTAAATTTAGCTCTTCTGTGTTTCACAAAAATATCTGTAGTTTTTGCCTAGGACACGGGAAATATTTTCACATAAATCATCACCAAGAGTTTTAACTTGTCTTCCTATACATTAAGAAAAATTACAAATTATATTCTACTATAAGATGGTCTGACAACTATCTGATCTTAGGTTTTGTTTTTAAAATTAGCACTTGTACTCTAGTTATATTTTAATAGAACTAGAAACATGAACTAAAAGTAGAAAATTAAAAGATAAATTGAAGTCAAAACTGCTACAACCGAAAATGTATCTGCTATGACATGATTCATGCCCTCTGAATTACAAGAGATTTCAATCTCAGTTTGAAACAGGGTTAGCAGAATTTCCTGCTATTCTGAAAAGAACTGATTGAAATCCAGGGAAAATAACACACATGCAATTTGATTCCCACCCCACCCCATTACTGCTTTTTGTGTCGTCCACAAGATTGTTGTCAGACAATCAAAGATCAGTTTGAGTCAGGCTTGCCCACTGAATGTCTAAAGGAGCTTTTATGTTTGACAATGAGCCCAAGATGTGATCCTAACAAGGTCCCCAGGGTACACCAGTGGTGTTAGTGCATGCAGCAGGATGGACATGGCGGCCAGAGGAGAAGCAGTGCCAAGAACATCTCTCTAGAGCTTCCAGATTCTCCACATGCATATACAAACTGTGAAGTAATAGGAGCAAGAAGTGAAAAACAGACAGAGGAACACAGATTATACAAAAGTTAAAAGCTGTAACTCTTACCTGGGCCAGAGAGAAAATGTACAGTCCCCAGTAAGGCAACCACAGCACAAGAAAAGCTGTTAGGATGCTCTTGAGTATAACTGACAGGCTCTCAGCAATCACCTGCAAACACACGGTAGAGGGTGTATTTTATAAACATTATTAAAAACTAAAGATGGAAAGGAATCCCAGAAAACCTAGGATAGTGGATACCCTGGTGGAGGAGGGGGGCATACATTCAGACATACTATCAATAATGTTCTGCTTCTTGGGTGGGGTGGTAGGTTCATGGACCTTCAGCACATTATCATGCTTTAAGATTTACATATATGTTAGATAATATATTCTTTTGTACATATCAGATAATATATCTTAAAAGATGAAAATATTAGTATACAACTAAATAGAATCACTATAAAAATCTAAAAAAACCTTTATAGTCCTCTTAAATTCTTATTTAATCTAATAATTTTCCTATTAGCAAACCCGTTCTTCCTTAATAGCATAGCATTAGGTGAACTTCAACCAAGCTCATCTGTCAAATTTCAAGTGAATGAACTGAACTGATCATGCTACATTTTTCCAAATATCTTTTTAGATGCAAATCTGAAAAGACCATTCCCTCCTATAAAAGCATTTTTAAAAAACCACTCTTCGTCTTACTCTTCACATTTCTCGTTCACAGCAGAAGGCACACTGACCTTGAGCTTGACAAACATATGTGCTTGTGCCAACACCCAGAAGGGCTCTCCCAGAAGTTCCACCACTGCTGAGAGACCAAACACCAGCACTCCGGTTCCATAGTGGGGGATGACATTAGGATCAGGCACCTCGAGCAACTGTAACCAGACCCAGCCCAGGAACAAGGACCAAAACACACCCAAAGGGACTCTAGAAGAGGGGAAAAATGCTTCTTGATATGCTAAATATAACAATAAAAATAAATATGTATTAAAATAGTAACACTATTAGAACAGAAAATACAGACATAATAAAAACAGCTACCACTTATTAAGGCATTTGCTACATGCTGGGCACTATGATTCACCTCCTTTATCTCACTGACTCATCACAGTGATCCTCTGGCATTGCCGCCATTTAAAAGATGAGGAAACTAAGGCTGATTGGCCCTGGGGAATCTGGCCAAGGTCATGAACAGCTAGTCAAGGAGAGAAGCAGGACCCAATCTGGATCTAACTCCAAAGTCTGCACTCACATCTACTGTGTTACACTGACTTGTAAGTAAAACTCCCAGAAGGTACCTGTTGTTTGCACTTAGAATGACTGAAGGACAGTATACAGCTGGCTCTTGTACCTCAACTATCTGAGTCCAGGACACAGTATTCTTTCACATGTGACCAGAGAGCACTTAAATATGACCAGGTACTTAACAGTCATTCCTCTAATAAAATGAACACCTACCAGCCCTTATGACAGTCATTTCTGTGAGGTAATGAGGAGTTATGTAAGGGCAGGACCAGGAATCACCTCAACCACCAGCCCTCCAGGAGGGGATCTAACTGAAGAAAAGCCATTACAATTTTTAGCTGATATACTTGGTCTTCAAGAAAATTCTAAAAGGCTCAGAACTGAAATCAACATAACAAAATTGAAGAAAGATGTGAAGAAAAGCTTTCAAAAATAGTAAGTGGCTGTTAAAAGTGCAGAAAACACTGCAAGAGAAAAGATCAGGAATAAAAAAGATGGTTCAGACCCAGTGGGGATCAAAACAGCAGAAACAACCTCCAGAGGGGGTAGAAGTGGGGCTAGAAACCTGGCACAGAAACCGCTGCCCAGCACCTCCTCCTGGCTCCTGGCCATCCAGAGGGAAATGGCCAAGAAGCTCCTTCACAGACACTCTCCCCTTCCGCCCCACGCCAAGGGCCCAGAAACCCACCGATAACCAAAGTGTAGAGACTATTCAGCTTTAGGTAAGTGCTGCCGTTTAGCTTGTCACACTCATCACACTTGGCTCTGTGAAACTGTCTCTGCCAAAGCACAACTCACGTTAGCCACAGGAGGTTGAGGGTCTGGCTCCAGTCCCGCTGGGCGCCCCCACTCAGACATGCTCTGCGGAAGGCCTCTCTGGCCAGGAAGATGGTGGTTGAGTAAAGCAGTGTTAGCCTGTAAGGGAAAAACGGAAATCAATATGATGTCTAATTTTTTCACAGAGAGAACTTCTGGGGTTTTGCCAGCAACGAGGAAGAGAAAAAGTCTTGGTCATAAAGCACTGTGGTGATGTGGGAGGCAATGGTTTCTTATAGGACTCCCCCCGCCACTAATCCAATCCACGTGAACAACAAAGTTAGGAATAAAACAAAAGACATATAAGTGTGTGCCTACAGTGTTATGTCCAGAACAGAACTGTCACAGTTGCCCCCAAAGCCTGCAGCCTTTGCGGCCACAGGCAGAGGTGTGGCTCTGAGTATAAAGAGGAAAAAAGGACAAGCTATGACTCTACACAGCAAGGGGGCCTCTTGGTCACCCTGAGACTGGTGACCCAATGGCCCTTCTGAGAGAAGCTGAGACTCTACTGAGTGGAGAATCTTGGCACAGACAATGAGGCTGGCAGTCGCTTCAGAGGCTGCTGCAGCCCAGATGGGCAAGGCTTGCCTGTGTTCCTCCTAGGTGAACCCCCCTGCACCTCAGCAAAGAGTAGCTAAGGTTCCCCCTCCTCAACAGGCAGTGGCATGGATGAAGCCAGAATGGGGATGGTCCAGGGCTAAGGTATCTGAGGTTGTCAAGAATCATCTTGCAACCCAGTGCCTCTGTCCAAATGAGGAGACTGAACTGTACCTTAAGCAGGTGGGCAGGCCAGACAAGGGCTGTCAGCGCAGGGACCGGCCAGTCTGGGGGAGGCCAGCTGGAGAGACCCAAACTGCTTTCAAGTCTAAGTACCTAAGGGGACTTGGCCCTCTTCCTTCCTGCTTTTGTAACAGCATTTCTCAAAGTATGGTCCCTACTTCAAAATCACATGAAAAACTTATCAAAATGCATATTCCTGGGCGCCTCCTCAGCCCAACCTTGTGCAAAGCTCCTCAGATGATTTCTTTGTTCACCAAAGTTCGAGAACCTTCACTAAGCTCCAAGAATAGAGTCAAGAGCATCTGTTTGGTAAGCATTAGATGTGAAATGCTATCTGGATCATACTGTCTTTGTTTACCAGGACATGAAGGTACACTTGAGAAGATGAGCTATACTGAAGACTCACATCACTTCATATATTTTTGTGTCATTTGTGAAGACAGAATATGTGTGGGTGTCCTTTAACAGAGAGGAGAGTCGAATAAACAAACTGAATCTAAAAGACAAAGCAAGTTGGCTTTCTAAGAGCCTCCAAGGAACTAATGACAAGGACTCGAGCTCTCATCCCACGACCACCTTCCAATTATAAAATTCACTGAGGAGGGAAGGAAGGTGGCTGGCCCAGCCCTGCAATTATGAAGCACATCCTCACGAACCACAGAATTCTTGCTTCCTTTGCTGTCAGCAGGACAAGAACACACGATTATACCTGAGAGGGATTTTGCAGTGAATTACTCCCACTCCTCTCCTGGGTGCTAAGAGCAGGCACACCGGAACAGCTGGCAGAGAAATGTGCCTTTGGAGGTTATTAATGGAAAACACTCCATGGGTCCATTAAAAGCACCATTGCCCGCTCATCCCCCATCCCCAGCCCGCTCCTCCTCAGCCCACTGATAAAACACTCAGCTTCCGTTAAAGGTCCATGCTTCTAAAATCCAAGGGTGACACAAAGGTACAGAGTTTGAAGAAAACCCGATTAGGGGAGTGAGTGGTGGACAATGCCAGGGTACGTAGCTTCTTACCGGACATTCACAATGCCAACAATTTCCTTTGACAGGAAGCGAAGAATAAATGCATTCAAGACAAAGGTGATCAATCGAAACACCACCTACAGAACAAGAAAATACATAGGAATAAATTATGTTGGGAGGGTTTACTTTGTTAAAATGAACACAAGGTGGTTGCTGTTTTTAATGTAACAACATACAGCAGCTTTGCCAGGGAGATTCTCTCTCAAATGCTTAACCTGTCTGCACTGTTTCTGAAATTTCATTTCTTGGGGTCTCTCGGCACCCTTGTGCAATGGTCAGGGAACCCTGGAGGGCACTTGGAAGTCTCCCTAATTTACTGATGAGAAGAGGAAGGCCCTGAGAGATTCACCCATTTTTTCAGGTTAAAAGTTAGGCACTCCAGGAAACAGAAAGGGAACTCTGGTGAGTGCTTCACGTCGGCCCTCCCTCCAGCCTGTTTAGAGATAGCACACACTTAGCAAGTGGGAGCCTGCAGGATAGAGCAGACTTACTAGGAATCATGGAATCTAATTTCTCCTTCTTCTCTGCCTAGTAATAGCTAAGGATCCAACAATGACATTTCATCTCTTTGAACTTCAGTTTTCTCGATTAAAAAAAAGAAGAGGCTATTTGCTGAATATTTGTCACTTTCCAGAGAGTTGAAATACCTTTTAAATGACAACTGCAATAATAAGACAATATAAAACAGGGGAGAAGGGAAGACAGAAGCTAACTAATGCCATTTGAAAAGGGTATATCCTGAGACTTTCAAGCCTGCCAATTCAAGAACACCACCTGAGCAAAGAATTCTTCCCATTAGACAGAGAAAAACAGGCTGCCATTAAGTGAGGTTGCCAAATGGGGCTACTGGCTAGGGCGCAAGCTTCACTCACCAAGTGACTCCCCCTTGCATCCTGGAAGCACCACAGGTGTAACTCAGGGTCACTCCAGAGTAAATGACAGATCACTTCTGTGTCAAACACCCGCAGAGTTACACGTGAACAGCTGCAATCTGGAAGACTCAATCTAGGTACATCAACGGATCACAGCAGTCTGCAAATCTCTGGGGCAAGGTATGACCAAAAAGGAGACTGCCGTCTAACACTGCTCCAGAAGCATAACAGAGCAGCAAGGTCTCCAAAGCCAATGTATCACAGCACTAACCTTTATGGAGTCAAAGGTGACTTTCCGTAAGTCTGATCAAAGTCCTGCAGCCTCTCCTTAGAAACACGCAGGTACGTACATACACACCAAATTCTGCACTCAATTTTAGAGATCTGAAAACTATTTGCACAGTTCTTAATGGAAAAAATACTCAGCTGAGAGTCTCATTTCACCATTTATCTAAACCCATCATCTTCTAATATTTAAAAGCCTCAATTTTCATCCCAGTCAAGTGAGGCTACCGTCATAGTTGATAACAAGGTCAAACATAGAGTTGATAACAAGGTCAAACATCACAGAAGTGAAAGCAGTTTTGAAGGCATTAATGCTTTCACTATGGCTGGCTCAGAGTTTAGAGAATAAGCTCTCAAATCCGTGCAGGACACAATGTAATTGCAAAGCAACCTTAAATGTCTGCACTGTAATCTAAGAAAACACACAAGACTGAATTAAAACACTCCAAGAAATCTAAAGATTGTGGCTATTTTTAAAAACCCACATACACATATTTATGTTAACTCCAAAGTTATCATTGCCTAAGAGACTTAATGTCTCAGGCCATAACCCTATCTGCTAATTGGTTTGAATAAAGGTTTGAACTAATGAAGCTATGAGGTTGCTCACACTCCCAGTATTTCCTCCATAGAGTGGCCCTTATTAGTAAGTCTTTTTTTTAAGGATGTAAACAAAAATGGATTTTTTTGAGGGCCTATGAGGCAGTTCTGCATTTCCCCAACACTTACAAAGCCTTCCCCTTCACTCACACTCCCCAACAGTTAGTCCTCCCCCAGATCAGACACCACCAAATGAAGCGAAACAACACAACATGCTGCCACTTCAGCCAAAAGCGGTGTTTTCACTCTGCCGTTTCTTGATGGCTCAGTGCAAAAGGCCCACTGACTGTTTTTAAGAGGCGAGTAACAATCCCACTGACTGTTTTTAAAAGGTAAGTAACAGTCTTCATTTTACTCTGTAAAGGATTTGACAGTTAAAAAAAAAAAGCGCTCTTTGACATCTGTTAATTATTTGACCCCTAAAAACAATTGGGTAAATGCATGGGAAGCAAGGTAAGACTCAGAGAAAAATGATTTGCCCCACAGCAAGCAAATGACCCGGCTTGACCTTACAGGTAAGGCCACCTGCCTCCTAGTATAGTGTGTTTTCTGCTATTACTTGTTTTCTTTTCATGAAGCCAATCTCAGTACTAAGGTGTAGTCAAAGGTTGAACAATCAACATTGTGGATAAAGCACTGAATTCAAACAGTTATGTTGTGAAATAGAAAAACAACACAACTAGGTAACTTGGGGTTCACCTAATTTAGGGTTAGATGAATGGCTAATGTTTATTAAGTACATATCTTGTGCAAGGAACTCTTCTACAGCTCCATATAGACTGCCTCATTTCATCCCTACTATGACCACTTTAAAAATTCGTATTTTTATGCCAGGCACTCAGACATTTCATCTAATCTCCCTAATGACATTATGAGGTTGCACTATTGTTCCCATTTAAGATGAGAAAATTGATGCTTGGAGAAGTTAAGAGATTTTCCCAAGGGCAGGCATCTAGCAAGTGACAAGCCCCAAACTTGAGCCCTAGTCAGCCTGATTCTTTCTCATAACTCCCATGTGAAATGCTGCCTCTCTAAAATAAGGGGTGGAGGTGGATTCAGGACTTGTGAGGAAGGGCTGAACAGCTCAAGAGTGAGAGGTCCTAGGATTAAAAGAATCTTTATGATACCTTTTGGACCACGTGGCATGTACATCTCACAAATGATTAAAATTAGGGCCAAGAAGGGGAAGTGACTTGTCTAAGGTCACATAGCCAGAAGGAAGATGCAGCCAACATGTACTAAGTGTACACTAAGAGCCAGAGGATACTACTGTGTTAAATGCAACTATCCAACAACCCCAACTTGGCCTCACAGCAACTTCTGTGAGCTAGGTACTATTATTACCCCCATTTTCCAATGAGGAGCTGAGGCCTAGCAGGTGAACTTGCTTGTCTTGGGTCTCTCAGCAAGCATGGGGTAGAACCAGGATTCCAATTCAAGCCTGAGCCCAGGTCCCTGTTGTTAGCTATGCCATATTATGTCTCTGAACTCAGTGGGAGTCAGAATTTGAGTTAAGTGTTTGAGGGTAGGGGTAGAACACAGAGAAAATAAACCCTCTGACTCAGAGTATGAGATTCTAGAGTGCGAGGCACCCCTGCGACCTGACCTAACCCCTTCCTACTGCCATATGGGAAATACAATGCTCAAAAGGAGAATGGCTTGTTTGCAATCTCCCAGTCATGGCTCTGAACGTAGGCTCTCAACTTCAGGCCCAGGTGTCCCCTCTCCGCCGCCAGCCCCTCCTGCCGAAACCCTCCGTATTTGCGGAGTCCCCGCCGTGACTGGATCTGCCCCAAGGTGGGTTCTCAAAGGCCCCAGGGCCGCCTCCCCGTGAAACCCGATTGTGGGACGGGTTGGAATCGGCCGGGCAGAGTACCTGGAGGAGCAGACCGGAGGAGGCCAAGCGGGCCGCTTGGCCCAGCACCTCCTGACTCCTCATAGCCTCGGCGTCCGGGATCCGTCCCCAAGAAATGCAGTCGCCATCCGGCGTGGTCGCGAGAAGATAGCGTCACCGAGCGACTCGTTCGCTGATTGGCTATGTTAGTACGGCAGAGGCGTGGCATGAGGCGTTCTGGCCTTTAAAGCGGGCGGGGTTCGGGTACGTCATTGTAACTGCGCGTCGTCTCGTCTCACTTTGTGGTTCTGTCTTCCTATGCCAAATAAGCCAAATACTGTGACCACACTAAAAGACACTGTTAAAGTAGCCAAAGCCCCTTCCCTGAGGCTCCCAGTCTACCAACCAAGAAACACTAACTTTCCTGGCCACATCTGCCAAAGGGAACAAACTATTCACTGGCCTCTGTAATACGATTCTTGCCATTCGGTCTTCGCTTACAAAATCGCAGTCACGGCCGCCTAAATCAGGATTGTATCAATTTTATAAAGAAAGAATTCAGGACCAGAAGTTAAATACACCATTTTCACATGTGTAGTTTTGTGTAATCCTTTCTAAAGTACTGAAAACTGGACCCTGCTGTCAGAGATAAGTAAGGTGAGACTTGGAGACGTGAAGTGTCTTGTTTGTACCTACACAACTTGTACCTGGGTGGAGCAGACCCCAGGCTCCTGATCCTAAACTTGCCTCTCTTGTCTTCATGCTACCCATTGTGAGGACAGAGCAGAAAAATAGTAGGGAAGTACTTAATAAAATGTAAACCGCCCAGCACAATCAGCAGTTGTTCTGTACACGTTCTTAGCATCTGCTCTACAGGCCATAGGAAGCCCATCTATCTCTTTTAAGCCTTCAGTGATTTGACCCCCAACCTACCTTCTCAACCACTTTTCACATTATCACTGCCCTTTCCCAATACATTTTAGGCTCTAGCCATTCGGAGCCCTTACTGTTCTTCAAACAACCCCTAACTGGCCTTTGCTCTGCTGCCATTTCTTCCCAAAGTGCCTTCCCTGATAACATTGCCTATCCTGCCAGACCTTAGTGTCCTGACTTTTGCGAGTACAAAAGCACCTGCTATGGACTAAATATTAGTGTCCTCCCCAAATTCATGTGTTGAAGCCCTAGTTTCCAATGAGATGGTTAACTGGAAGTGAGGCCTTTGGGAGGTAATTAGTCATGAGAGTGGAGCCCTCATGAATGGGGTTAACGCCCTTCTAAGAAGAGACAAGAGAGAGAGATGAACTCTCTCCTGGACATGTGAGGCTAAGGCAAGAAGGAAGAGGGCTCTCACTAGGAACCAAATTGGCCAGCACTTTATCTTGGACTTCCCAGCCTTCAGTATTGCAAGAAATAAATTCCTGTTGTTTAAGCTGCCCATCTATGGTATTCTGTTACAGCAGCTTAAGTAGACAAAGACAGAACCTGTAAAGCACTTTGTAACCCTTTAAATCTCTTAGCACAGTCTGCTTTACAGTGAAGAGACTAGAATATGTCTCTGCCTAAGCAGCCCATGAACTCCAAGAAGGCAGAAATGAAGCCCACTTGGCTTTGTCTCCTGCAGCAGTGACAGAGAAGATCCTAGGACTCCCCATAAATGCTTCCTGACCTGTTATATTACTGCTGCTGCTGCTGCTGGAAACAGACTTGGGCTCAAGGCCTATGCACTAACCCCAGCCCCAACTTGCCAGCTTAATAAAGCTCTGTCTTATGGCAGAGCTTCAGAATGTAAGCTTTCGACTGTCAGACAGACCTGGCCCTGAATCCTCATTCTGCTACTTACTAACCAGGTGGCCTCAATATGCTAAACTAGTAAATAGGGGATATTATCTGTCCTGTGATGGCAATCATAAGGATTAAGGTAAGCAAAAGTCTGGCTCTTCAGGAGCTTAAATTCTAATGGGAGACTGAAAAAAAAAGAACCCTAGTAAACAAATATTAAAATCTCACATAATGATAAGTGCTATGCAAAAATTAAGCCAGATAAGATAATAGAGGCTCTTAGAAGGGGAAGAGGGGTTGCTGTTCTGGAAGGTAGAGCAAACTAGGCAACCACCTGAGAGAGAAGAGCAAAATGCTAGAGGGTCCAGGTATTTGGCCTACGGGCTGGGATGCCCAAGGCCGTGACCTAGGCTGCCGGCCCGCCCCCATGGATCTTGGGCTGGCAGGCAAGGCAGGCTTTGGCCCACTTTATCCCCAGCAAAGCAGCTGCCTCCTCCACAGCTCCTCTCTGGAGCGTAACCAGTCAAAAGAACTTCATATCAACACACTCTAACCCTAGGCATCTAGGTGGGCTGGCCTGGGAGGGAAAAGGGAATCATTTCACTGGGGGCAAAGAAGCCAAAAGGGAAATGCTCCAACCTAAGTCCAAAAGGCAAAGCCTCCCAGGAGTCCAGGGTATAGACCCCCAAGGGGCTCCTGGGCAGGGAGTCAAGGATCTTTTCCTCTTATTCTGGAGGGGAGGATTTAGCAGGGAGAGACAGGGCAAGCACTTTGTGCCCAGAGCCATGCTGGGTGCAGGAGTGGATGGAAGAGAAGGAACTGTGATGAAAATCAAGGAGCAGTGACCACTGACTCCACATCAGGCATTTGTGTGAGCACTGCACATTCATGTCCCAACTCCTCTGTCCTCTCAGAAACCCATGAGGTAGGTACTACAGGTGAGAACAGCGAGGAGATGTTAGGTAGCTCACTCACAGCCATTCGGCAGGGAGTGGTCAAGCTGGAATTCAAACTGAGGTGCTTTCTGACTCTAGATTGGTGAAGAGCGATGTCCTGCCCTCAAAGAGCTTCTGTTCCCCAAGGAGACCTAAGAGTTCCCATATCTGACCCCAGAGGACCTATGAGGGAGTGGACTCTGGGAGGGCTGCTGTGATTGAGCTGCAGTGGAGACGTCCCTCACCTGTGCACTGAGCCTCTCCAAAGGCTTTGTCTCTGTTAGAGGTATTGGCACCAACAGGGCCTGGCACACTTCGTGGTCTTGGTGTGGAGGGCTGGTGAGTTGTGGCCCGCTGGCTGTTGCCTGTTTTATACCACCTTTAAGCTAAGAATAACTTTTACAATTTTAAATGGTTGGGAAAAAATCAAAAGGACTATTTCATGACACATGAAAATTATATGAAATTCAAATTTCAGTGTCTGCAAATAAAGGGTCTTTTAAATTAGAAAATTGGGATCATATGTATTTTTTTCTACTGTATTTTCACATTCTTGTTTTTTTAAATTAAGGTATAGTTGAGGTACAATATTAGATGTTTCAGGTGAACAACATAGTGATTCACAATTTTAAAAGGTTATATTCCACTTATAATAATTCTAAAATATTGGCTCTATCCCCTGTGTTGTATGATCTATCCTGGTAGCTTATTTATTTCATACATAGTAGTTTGTACTTCTTAATGTCCTACCCCTATCTTGCTCCTCCCCACAAATAAAGTTTTATTAGAACACAGCCACATCCACCTATTTGTTTACTTATTGGTTCTACAGCTACTGTCTTAGCTACAACAGCAGAGTAGTTTGGCCTAAAAAACTGAAACTATTTACTATCTGGCCTTTTAAAGAAAAGCTGGCCAATCCTGGTGATCACCACTGAGCCCTAGTGCCTGACATTTCGATATTGAATGAATGCATGCATGCATAAATGAATTTTTTAATTAATTTTAAATTCAGTTAAAAATTTTTTTAAGAGTTGAAGAGGTTTACTAGCCCATGACAGGAAACAAAATGATTAATGATGATGAGAAGAGTTCTTTCCTGGGGGTCACTGGTTTGGGGAGCAAGTGACCCCTAGAGAACACTGGACTGTGACTGGTGGTCAGTGAAAGAGCCATTTCCTCAGGCGTTCCTCCTCTCCCTCCTGCTCTTTGTGCCAGGTAGCCTCCCTGCCAGGGAAAGCCGACCTGAGCTGGCTATTTTATTACAAAGCTAGAGGGAGTGCCAGGGCTGACGCCAAGCCAGTTAGACTCCTGGGGCATCAAGAGAGGGAGGGAGTCTGCTGGTGGGCAGGGAGGCAGGGTAGAAACAATGGTAAGCAGGACCTTGGACCTCAGCTGGCTCCTCAGGGCATCAGTCAGTGCAGAGATAAGAAAGTAACCTGCAATGCCCATTCATCAGCCTGGTTCCTTTCAACGCCATGTCTATTCCAGAGTCACCACCCTTGCTGAGCATCGGGAGGGAGCACAAGGGTGAAAAAGCCACAATCACTGCCCTCTCAAAGCTCACGGTCCCTCTTGGACAACATGAGAGTGATCCCAGGAAGGCAAGGGAAGCTCAGGGTGGGGGTTGGAGTTCTCTGGCTGGGGCATCAGGGAAGCTTTTGAGCTACACCTTGAAGGGCGAGAGGGTGTGGTCAAACAGAGGGACTTGCAGGCAGAGAGAACACAGAGGAGGAAACTTACCTAGCCTGAGCCTTTTGGAAGACCCAGGAATTGGCTTTGACAGCTGAAGAGTGCAGGAGTTCTTTCCTCACTGGTCTGTGGCCAGTGCCAGACTAATGGTCCTGAGAACAGCAAATTCATGGGTGGGGACATGCATATGTGAATGAACACAAATTCAGGAACATGTGTTCATATGCGTGGAGAGAGACAAGTGTGCATTTGTACGTGTGGGCAGGCCTGTCTGCCAGGGCCTGCCTTCAGACACATAAAGTCTGGGTGTGGGTGCAGGTGCACATGCACATGAACACATGCATGCTTGTGAGTTTACATGTGCGTATGGATGTGAAAGCGTGAATGTAAGGTCATGGGCAGTGCCTGAAGCATGTGAACGTGTGGGGACACAAAAGTGTGCAGACATACATTTTCAGTTCTCCTGGTATGTACCCAGGAGCAGGATTGCTGGGGTCTTGTGGTAACTCTGTGTTAAGCCATTTGAGGAATTGCCACAGTGTCCTCCACGGTGGCTGTAACATTTTACATTCCCATCGGCAGTCTATGAGGATTCCAATTTCTCCACATTCTCACCAAGATGTATTATTGTCCATATTTTTGATCACAGCCATCCTAACGGTGTGAAGAGATACTGTGGTTTTGATTTGCATTTCCCTAATGACTGATGATGTTGAGCATCTTTTCATGTGCTTGTTAGCATTTGTGTATCTTTTTTTGAGGCA